CTATATCAATCGCAGCCGCGGTGTGTTTATACGATACACCTCATGTGCGGCACACTACTTATCCCTCAACGCCGCCTTTGCATCCACTACCTCCCCAGCCACCTGGACAACCATCTGACGGACAACTTCCCGGGGCAAGCATCCAAGCACGGCCTGGAGTTCGAGGACCTATTGCCGCTGTGCCGGATGGGTGGAAACATTTACGGGCAATCGACATGCAACAATATATGGACCAACACGTGCCCACGTGCAAAAACATACCGAAGTGTATCAGGGGGCCTTGGCTGCGCATTCTGACACAAGTCCTACATGAAATTGAAATATCTACTGTGCTTTGGGACATCAACCACGAGCGGAAGGAGAAGTGTCAGCAAGCGTGGAAGTTGTTCATATTATTACCGCGTCTCCTCCTCCATCACACGGCACGCGGTGGGGCTGCAGGGGAACGTGAACTCAAACAACGCGTAGCTTGGTATGATAGCGGGGAATGGGACAAATTGTACGAATCCGCTCAACAGCGTCCGAAAAAACCTGCACGACCTCGCGAATCCACCGCCCCACAGATTGGCAAAGCTTTAGGGCTTGTGCAAATGAGGGAATTGAGTCATGCAGCCCGTCTCCTAAGCTCTCCGGGCCTAGCCCCAGGGATCGAGGAGACCCTCAAGGAATTCCGTGACCCCGCCCTCCGCCCGCCGTCCCCCTCCGAGCCCTTCCCTCCAGGATTCGCGGCATTTCGGCCGAGATCGGAAATCCGATTGGATAGGCAGACCTTTGCTGAAGTACTTCGGCGATCCCGACGGGGTTAGAGTGCTGGGCTGTGGGGTGGAAGGTACGAGTATTACAAAATCTGCATGGAAGATAGTACAGCTTACGACGCCTTGTGCGATGTGGCCGAAAGGCTTGCCCAAGCACGCATCCCGCCAAATATTCGCGACCTACTACATGTATCGACACTTACTGCTTTGAAAAAGCCGAACAACAAGGTACGTGGAATTGCGGCTGGGGATTCGTTTCGCCGCCTCGTCGCAAAATGCTTGGCGCGGCAATGCCAACAAGAATTTCGAGACGTAGTCCGGCCGTACAACTTCGGCCTCAACGATCGCAGCGGCACGGATTCAGCAGTACACATGTTGCAATATTTGGTCGATGCGAACCCACACAAAGTACTTGTCAGCATCGACGGGGTGGGTGCATTTGACCACGTATGCCGAACGCGCATGTTCGAAGCTCTACTTGGTAACTCAAAGCTGCATGGTCTTATCCCCTTCGTGCGGTTCTGGTACGGGATCACATCTAAATTCAGATGGGTTGATGCTTGTGGGAAGGCGCACACAATCTTCCAAGGCGATGGGGGGGAACAAGGTGACGCACTCATGCCTGCCTTATTTTGTTTGGCAATCAACATAGCACTGCGACGAATCAGCGATAAATTGCCGCCGGGGGCAGAAGTCCTTGCGTATTTGGATGACATTTACGTCATATGTGACCCTGACGAAGTTGTGTACGTATTGGCCACAATGCGCAATGAATTATCAACATCTTGTCACATCGACGTCAATGTTGGCAAACTTGCGATATGGGGGCCGACTATATCACAACGTCCGGATAACTTAACCGACATCCCGCCCGACGCATGGAAATGCGATGCAAAGACACACGAACGGGGTATTAAGATCCTCGGCGCACCGTTTGGAACGGATGCTTATGTCGAAGCGTTTGGGACACGATTAGCTTGTGAGAGAGAGAAGCTGTTACAATGTATTCCCAAGCTCCCCTTTTTACAAGCGGCGTGGCTCATGCTCTACCTTTGCGCCGTGCCCAGAATCAACCACCTACTCCGGACGTTGCCGCCGCACTTGGCACGCATCGCTACGACGTCCCACGACCACAGTATTATAGAGACCTTCCGACTACTATTTGGCATCCCTACGCCCGACGATTGGTGCTACGATCTGCACGGCGTCATGTACGACAACTGGGTTGCCCAAGCATCGCTCCCATTGCGGCTTGGGGGCATGGGCCTGTGGGACTCTACGAGCACTGCTCCTGCGGCATTCTGGGCGAGCTGGGCGGATTCGCTCCCTGATTTACTGCAGCGATTCCCAAGCCTAGGTCGCAACATGCTTTTCCACCTTGCAGCTATTCAAGACATGTCGGCGGGACAACCACTACGTGGTCTTGCGTGCCTGGTGGACGCGGAACAAGCCGGTAGATCGTGCGATACTATTGGATGGAATAACCGACCTACATGGCACGATATTGCTGCCGGGGCCCGGCCTCCTGAGCCTCCAGATCAAGCCGAAAACCCCCTGGCTTTGGGGGAATGGTCCCACGGTTGGCAATTCCACGCGTCCAATGGTTTGGAAATAGTTGCGCAGACACAGCTCCAGCGGGATTTCCCAGCACATCACAACAGGACAAATGCAGCATCCCGTGGTAAAGCACGGCTTCAATCGTGCATGGGGCCGTACGCGAGTGTGTGGTTGACGGTGTGCCCCACAACTCCCTCCGGCTACAACATGCAACAACGAGTATTTCAGATGTGCAGTGCGCCGGTTTGGGGCTGGCTGTGGTTTGTGATGGGCCCGACCCGCATGGCTTCTCCAGGTTAGCCGACAACGAGGGGGCTCGCCTCAACGCACGGCATACCACCATGGTGGCAGCGTGGAGACAAGTGTTGACGGAAGCGGGTGGGGCCATACCAGACCGTAACGTTGAATGTCTTCTGAAGGATACCCACGTCCCAGTACCAGCTGGGGACTTACGACGATTGGACCTCATAGTCCCAAGTTTGTCACTTGCTCACGGGGTACCGCTCTTCTGCGACGTATGCATCCTTTCCCCGATCTCTCGGAACGGCTGCCCCCGGGCAGGGACGAGCAACCAAGGTGAGCGTTTATTGAACAATGAACAAAACAAAAACAACACGACCTACAACGAGGTTGCGACGACGGGATTGGGGAAACTATTGTCACTTGGATCGGAAGTGTACGGCAGATGGGGGAAACAATATATTTGGTTGGTTCCCAATTTGGCATCTGAACATACGCGGGGGTTGCACGCGCGCGTACGGAAAGGGGCCGCGTTAGGCTTAGTGCACAGGTGGTGGGGGCTCCTCGGCCTGGCCTTACAATCCGCTGTGGCGCACGCGGTCTTACATGACCATGCCGACCTACACCAAGCACCGCTGGAGGCGGGGCCAGGTCTGGCCGACCTCGAGGTCGTGTAACCCTCCTCGTCCTCCCCCTCCTCCTCCTCCTCCTCCTCCTCCTCCTCCTCCTCCTCTTTAGTTGCTTAGCCGCCGCGCTGTCGCCGCGCTGCTGCCGCCCTTCGTCTTAGACGATTTTCGGGCGTCGCTGCTCTGTCTCACCCGCCGCTTTCGTCGTCACCTGTTGCTGCCTGGGATGCAAAAACAAAAAAACTTGGTCAATGGGTTCCTTGCCGTCGGGCGGGACATTCTCCGTAATTTGCAAGCGCTTGCTGAAGCACACCCCGATGATTTCTCCGACCACCCAGTATGCTTTGCAGCAGCCGCAAGCTGCCGACCTCCAGAATTATTCACCGAACCGATTGTGCTGGGCGAGAGGGCCTATGAATGGCAATACCATGCTTCTTACAATTTGGAGGGGGCCGCCCGCAAATCCTTGACGACCACTTTCGGGTGCGGAACTGGAGCTCGCCGAAACGCATCAACAACTGGCAAAGAACAGGCATGCTCGCGCATGGGGCCTTACGTTACGACATGATTAACGATCTGCCCTACCCCGGACCTTCTGGTACTACACAACTCGCACATACTGTGCGCTGTGCGACGGGGACTCGGTATCGGAGTGCTTTGCGAGGGACTAAATATACACGGCCATGCGAAGATGACCACCAACCGGAATGCTCGACTGAACACGCGTCATACATGGATGGTGCACTTGCACAGCGGAGTGGCAATGCTGCAAACGGGCGCAATAGATAACAAGGCAAACATCGAAAGAATATTGTTTCCGCAAACTATGCCGGCATACGTGACCATGGGTGCGATGATGATGTATCCCAACCGACGTGCGTTTCGTTACAAATTCGCAGAGGGTCTGCATGGATCGACTCATTTGGTAATTGGTATGGCGCGACAATTGCAAGGCATAATTTTGGTCTTGCGTACACTGTGATGGTTCCAGCCTGCGCGGTGTTTTATAGGTGGGTGTATCATGAACATCCAGAATCGACTTCGGCATCGACTTCGGATGGCACGATGACTACAATACGATCACCTTGTCCGGCTCCATCCAAAAAAAATCCAATTTCGAATTTGGATGATACGACGACTACAATACGACCACCATGTCCGACTCCGGCTCCAACTCCAGTACCGACTCCGGTTCGTACGACAGCTACAACACGACCATTATGCCCAAGTCCGGTGCTCGCTGCGGCGCGGGGAACAAATCTCATTAAGAATATCTTCGCGCATACACCTCCCCCCTCCTAAGACGGATTTCGACACAGCTCCTAAGGAGGCTGCCATTACAGTTCCGACGATTGCGCTGCTGAAGGCTCCTACGGGATCTCTGCCAAATTTTGCGATGGCAGGCCCATCGGAATAAGGCTCCACGATAGTTCCCATTATAGATCCGACTGGGGCCCTGGCGCCGACCCTCCGACCTTTTCCGACTCCCGCATTCGACCTCGCGATTCCGGCCGAGATTGCTGAGCTCATGAAAACGAATATGGGGACGACAATTTGGAGGAAAAGCGATACGATTTGTATCATTATTGCTTTTATTGTTTTTCCTATTCCGACTCCGGCTCCAGGCCCCATTCCGTTTCCAGCTCTCAATATTGTCGTTGATCATGTTCCGTACCCCATTCCGTTTCCAGCTCTCGGTGTTGTCGTTGATGATGATCCGGGAGGGAGGGAGGTGGGAGCGAGGGAGCACGGGACGGAGTGAGGAAGTGAGGACACAAAACGAGGATACGATACAATGCGATAGCAATCGCGGCTGCTGTCTTGTTTCTCGAGCGCCAGCGCCAGCGTGCAACTCAGCACGAGTAAACGCTTCGAATATATGGGCCGTTGAAACTATCAGCTGGCAGGACGGCGCGGAGCAGCGAGGAGAAGGAGCACCTCTGTCCACACAGGAAGCCATCACACATCAGATACCAGCATCTCAAGACGAGGCAAGGACCTTCGGCGCGGGCCACGTCTCATATATTCGCCACCGACCTCGAAAATGGGCACCAGAGACAATGCACATAGTAGAAATAACACATTATGCATCAAGGCGGCAAAATGGCACAGCAGACCACCACGGCAGATGAGCAGGGCAAACGGGCCAACATTCAGACTTCACGCTAGCCGAATGGTTCCCAGAACGGCCAAAATGCCCCTCATGAGGCCCCCAAGACGCGCCCGAGTCGGCCCAAGAGTGGTCCAAGAGGATCCCCAAGGTGGGACTCCTGGCACAATGCCAATTGAGATCTTCGGTTTGCGTCGTAATTCAACGTTACTTCCGATTCGGGCGTTTCAAAGCCTAGGGCCGACCCCAAGACGGGAGCGGACGGATGTATCGGCACTACATACCTATATACGCATACATACATACATACATACATACATACATGCATGCATGCATGCATGCATACATACATACATACACGCATACACACACATCCCTACATACATAGACACATACATACATTATCCCTAGCGGCTACACGCTTACCCAGAGCTCAACTTAGGAGCGTGGTCGGTCGGAGTGGCGGTAGCCATCCAGAACATTCACAACTTCATTTTACTCGCACGGACGCCCGATCGCACGGGCGCTATGTTCTGTAGCACTCCAGTCGGGAAAGTAAACTCAACAGAACAGAATCAGTTGACAAAGGCCGAGATCGAGAGACTCCACTCCCCTGAGAAGATTAATCAAAGAAGGAAAGCCTGCACGCATCGGCACCGACTGCGTCTGGAAAAGAAAAGGTGGGAGGATGGGGACGGACGTGGTGCGCTTGAGCATGTATGCCACGGGCGATGCAAGCATTCAATCGGGACGCTCCTCGCCTCTCTGGAAAACACAAGTCACAGACACAAATTATCCCTAGCGGCTACACGCTTACCCAGAGCTCAACTTAGGAGCGTGGTCGGTCGGAGTGGCGGTAGCCATCCAGAACATTCACAACTTCATTTTACTCGCACGGACGCCCGATCGCACGGGCGCTAAGTTCTGTAGCACTCCAGTCGGGAAAGTAAACTCAACAGAACAGAATCAGTTGACAAAGGCCGAGATCGAGAGACTCCACTCCCATATCTGCCCATAAGGCATCTGGCGAAGCCGGCTTCAGCATTTTCTGAGAGCCCGAAGGAGCTTGACAGGAAACTCTCTCTCCGCAACCGAAGTCTTCCCTTGCTGCTCAGGTGACAACTTATGTACTTGCCGAAGGATTTTGCCGTGATTCGAATATCTCACCACACTCTGAGCGTGGGCCCACTGGCCCCGCTTCTGGATCTGATCAAGAGTCGCCAGGCCCATATACATGTCATGCGAAGCACCGGCATGCCGAACTCCGTGAGGAGAGATGTCCAGATCTGTGAGGCCCAAGTCAAAAGCGGCTTGACGAAAGAGGGCCTCGTACTTGGAGAGAGTCAGATCGAACATGTAGGGAGCTGCACTGCCCACGCGGTACCAAAGGCCTACCGCCTCCGCCACCCAGGCTCGTTGCAGCTCACCGATCACCACTGTCCCATCCACGACCCCAGTCTTGGTGGGCGCCGCGTGCTCGGCCTCGCCCAGGAGCAGCGCCCAGGCCCGCGCGTAGCGCCGGCCAGCCCGGGGAGCAGGCGGCAGCACCGAGGACAGGAGGAGCGACACAGCTTCATCCGGCCTCAGGTAGCAGTCGAACTGCAGAGCCAGGCACACGGCGGCGGCGGTCAGGCCTTTGTCCAGGAAGTAGAGGCCGATCAGGCAGACGACGCCGAAGGGGATGGGATCTCGGACTCGCTGGGGAGCCCGAGTGGTCCACCCTCGAAGCGCCCTCGACGCCTTCGGGAAGAGGTTGGCTTTGTTCCGATCCAGGTGCGTCTCGAAGTGAATATAGCCGTAGAGAACGTTGCGGCCCTCGGCGGGACCAGACCCCTCGAAGTACAGGTCGGTGAAGTACTGCTCCATCGCCGAGTCCGTGGAGCTGAAGCTACCCAGGTCGTAGTGCCTCGACTTCGCCCAGCCTTTGAACCTGCCGAGCGCGTCTGAGTAGAGCCGCTTCGTGGAGTCACGGATTGTCCCGAGCCGCAGGAAGTCGTCGCGCGCCGCTGGCGGGACCCGCGCCCTGCGCACCACCGCCAGCCGCTCCTTCTCCTCGCCGACAGCCGCACGGCCCTGCTGCCGCAGCGGCGGCCTCAGGGCCGCCTTGATGACCCCGCGCGCCGCCGAACTCGACGGCGTGGCGCGCGAGGAAGTGCTGCCCGCGGCTCTCGGCGTCAGTCCCGCCGTGAGCCTCCCCGAGTTTCGCTGCAGCACCATGCGACCGCGGCACCAGCGCCTCCAGCTCCGCGTCCCACTCGGAGGCGAGCGGCTCGGAGTCGCCGAAGGCCTGAGGAGGCGCCGCCGAGCATAGCGCGGCAGCCCACTCTCGGCAGAGGGCGGGCGAGTAGGCTCCAGCCTTGAGCCCACCCTGCAGAGTCTCATGGCGGCGTGACCCATCACATCTTCTCCCCAGGATGTCCAGACAGGTGGCGTTTGTGAAGATGGTGGTCGGTTTGCGAACATTTTCTCCGAATCCACAAAGATCGAACGAGACGTATCGGGCGTCTGGCAGACTGGCAAGGACAGCAAGGGGCTCGAAGCGAAACAACTTCGAGCTGGCAGGATTCTCCAGCGACCACAGTACGCCACAGCGGTCACACTCTTTGATGACCTCCGCTGTGAAGAGCGCCATGTCGACAGACACTGCCTCCAACCGCCGCGCCCGCTCGATGTTATAAGGCGTGGAGCGGGCGACTGACCAGGCGGAACATGCTGTCCCCAGATGTGCATACCAGAGCTTCCCGCTCCGAATCCAACGCAGCACAGCTCGCTGCGTCGTGCGACGTGACAAATCATATCGGGCGGAGCGCCTGATCTCGGCGCCTGGCAGGACTCGCAGCCCCAAGCGCCTGAGAGAGGCGGTGAGCCGGCCTGAGCCCGAGAAGAGCTCGAGCGAGGCTTGGACCGCCTGGGGCGCGCCATGATGTCGAGGCGCGCCCAGGCGGCGGCCCCCCCTCCGCAGAGAGGCCGCGGGCGCCCCGCCCTCAAGTCTCGTGGGTACCAGCACTCGCGGGGCTCGGGGACGACGGGAGCCCTCGTCCGCGCGGTTCCTGTCCGTGCGGATGTGGCGGACCCGCCATGCCACACAGCCGGCAACCTGATAGGCCGCGGCTCGGCGGCACGGCGCATTGAGCGCCCAGCTCGACGAGCGGCCGCGGTCGAACACCACGGCGGACACGAGGTTGTCCGACAGGGTGAGCAGCCGGCGGTGGCATCCCCGTCTGGTCCGCAAGCTACGTCGGAGACCCATGAGACAGACCCTAGCCTCCTTGACGTTGATGTGTTCCTGCTTCCAGTGCCAGAAACCCTCCACCAGCGTACGCCAGCGCCGCCTATTGTCCCAGCAGGCGCCGACCACGGGGATGGCCTCGAAACCTTCCACCTCCTCCCGCGGCGCGGCCCCTCGGGCCGATCGCCGACGTCTGCGTCGCTTGGGATCGGCCCCGACCCCGGCGGCGCGGGCTGCCTCGACGGCCCACTGCGCCAGGCGCGTCCGAGCCCCCAGCGGCTCCCAGGCGGTCCTCCCCACGACGTGGGGCTCTCCGAACGCCTCCAGCTGCTCGGGATCGTCGCCGTCAAATCAGACTCCGAATGCCGCCCCCAGCGCCTCCAAGGTCGGGTGCGGCGGCGGAGGCAGCGGCGGCGCGGCCTTGAACCTCCAGCGCTCCCTCCACTTGAAGTCCTCCAGCAGCTCGTCGCCTGTGCCCTTCGTCTCCATGAGAGCGTAGCCGTAGCCCGACGAGTCGCCGAGGTAGACCGACGAGTTGAACGGCGCGTCCAGCTCCACCTCGCAGGTGAAGACCAGGTTGGACATGAGCCAGAGCTCGCGCCGTACGCCTCGCCACAAGCGGCCTGACCTCTCCTTGTGAGCCGCGACGTAGGCGTAGCTCTGGGACAGGATAGACAAAAGGGGTCGGCAGAGGCCGCACATGTGAACGGCGTGGCCCAGCCAGATCTCGAGCTGCCATCCTGCCACCGCACGGCGGCGAAGCAGGGCTGCAGTCGCCAGCTTGAAGCGCCAGAGGCGGGCTGGCCGATGCCGCAGGCGGCGGCCCGGCCCGTCAAACTGCAGCCCGAGAGCCTCGAGATAGGGGCTGCAGGGGACCTCATCGTGGAGATCGAGGCCGAAGGCGGCACACTGCGCGCGGAAGTCCTGGTGGGCCTGCTCTGCGTCCATGGCGCTGTGCCCCAGCCCGGCGTGGTTGTCCACGTACGCTGCGTGGACGGGCCGCCCAGGGACCAGGCGGGGGGCCGGAGCGCGCTCTCGGAGCAAGCTACCCCACCCATCAGCAGCCACAGCCGCCGCGCGGGAGGCCACCGCCTCGTTGCAGAAGTAGAGGGCCCACGACCATCCCATGGGCATGGCCCCCATGCAGAGGTAGAAGGACTCGTGCTCGGCAAGCTCCACGTCCACGCCCAGCTCGGGGTCGAACACCTTGGTGATGCCAAAACTCCCCTTGCTGAACGGCTCGTCGATCCCGAACCAGTCGGCCACCTCGACGATGCTGAACTGGTAGAAGCCGTCGCGCACGTCAGCGCCACTCTGGTGGAAGTCCAAAGCTGGAACACCCCCAGCACCAGGCAGAACACAATGAGTCGCCATCTCCGCCGCCACGTCCGCGAACTCGGCCAGGTTGAGCTCCGCGAAGGACTGCGCGGTCCCCAGCTGTGTGGTGGGCGGCGGCTTGTGGCAGGCATTCGGGTATCGGGCGTCCACGATGAGGCGAATGGCCCCCTCCTTCTTCTTGACAGAGAAGAGCCCGAGACGGCCCTTGAGACGCCTCCTAGGCACCAAGATGCCCGAGGAGAGGAGGTGCTCGAAGAGCTCGTGCCGGGCCCGCTTGTTGCGCCGCAGCACGGGGTCCCAGTAGGGCTTGGGCGAGGGCTCGGAGGCGAACTTGGCCTCGATCTCCTCGGCGGACAGCTCGATGCACGTCTTGTAGCGTCGGAGCCTCTGCGCTGCATGAGGTGGTAGCAGCGCTCTCGCATCCTTGGGTTCCACCACTCCCTTGGCCACTCGCAGCTTGGCTGGATCATAACTGGCAAGGTGACGTGGCTCTTGACCGTGCAGGTCCTTCGTCTTGAAGAGCTCCCGGAGGGCTCTGCTTGGAGCGAGGCCTTCGGGGACCAGGCCTGCACGCCCCACCCGATCCTCGAGACTCGCCAACATCTCCCGTTGGACTGCTGTAGGAGCTGAGCTCGCCAGCGGAGATCGTCGAAAGTGCGAATTGTTAGCTTGAGCGGCCGCCAGTTGGTTGACACCGAGTACTGCATCTCTAACAAGCCTTTGCCGCGTCGTGGAGCGCCACCACCTCTGCTGCACATAGTGAGGGGCTCCACGTGGGTACTGCCGAACGTCGGGCACAGGAAGAAGAAAGGGTCCTCCGTGCCTCCACTCCCCGCCAGGCCACCAGTCGGCTTTGGTGACCTGCGGGCTGTCGGGCGCCATCTAGCTCGGCAGAGGGGCCTCGGCTCCTTGGCCGCCAGCCCCACTGCCTTTGCCTTTCGCATCACCGCCCTTTGGCCCCTTCGGGCCGCGCCTCCTCTCCCGCTCGTTCCTGGTCTCCTCCTTGTACAACCTCGACTGCTTGAGGATGTTCGCCCTCTCCTTCTGACGATCAGACGCCCAGGTGCGGAACCTCGGCGCTCGTGCAGCACCGTCGGTCCCCACGGCGCCGTCAGCAATGACTCCGAGCCCACTGAAGTCGGGATCCCGGGGGTCCCGCGCCACCGCCATCTCCAGCATGACGACCCGCCTCGCGAGGAGCTCGAACGAGGCCAGGTTGCTGATGTCGACCTGGTCGGTGCTGGTGGCCACACGCAACATCTCCATGGCGTTCTTGTGCTCATAGGCGATGGCGCTGTTCTGGTTGACCCCCGACAGCCTGATCCACTCGGCGTGGTACGAAGTCGGGTTCCCTGCGCCTTCTCGAATCGAGGCGGCCAGCTCTTTGCACACTCGCGGCCCCTCGAACTTCCACTCCGGCATGTCACTCTCGCGCAGCATGCCGACGGCGTCCGTCCACCCAAGGTGACGTGTGCCGTCCGCTGCAGTGTGGACGCCCAGGCTCCTGATGTCCTCAGCGCCGACCCGACGCTGCTCGGACCACTCTCCCAGTCGAGCACGTCCAACCTTCTCGACCCCCCGAGCGGTACCTTCACGGCGCACCAGCCCGCGATTGCCCAGCTCCACGAACTCGTCCCCCTCGAGGACATCGGCGGCGACGAGCGTCCCGAACGCTGGGTCCTCGAGGTCAGCATAGACCCATTCCTCAGCGTCCATGGCCTCGTCCTCGTCCCCGCCGAGCACGGCCGCCTGAAGTCGAGCACGTCTCTTGTGCCCAGCGACCGCCTCTCGTCCGATCGGGTCGAAGGCGTAGAGGTCCCCAGCGATGGCATCTGGAAAAGCCTGCCCTCGCTCGAGCACCCGATGCCGACGCTCGTCCAGATTGATCCTCTCGAGGTCGAGATCTGGAGTGAGCGTGATCCACACAGCGTCTCGCACACGTCGCAACAAGATACGATGATGCCAAGTAAAATTAGGATCATCATCGAAGCGGACGGCGACCTGGAACTCAGGAATGTCCGGGCACCGTGGCACCGCAGCCATGCCTTGACGAAGGTGTCACTGGCCCCGGCCTAGTCGTCAGCGCCAGGGTGGTCGGCGCTGCCGTCGAAGCGGCTGCCTCTGGGGCCGCGGCGGCCCGTGGCGCCGCTGTGGGCGCCGACGCCGCTCCGCCTGGAGCACGTCGTAGGCGAGGCGAGACGGCCAGCCCGACGGCCACGCCCGCTGCGAAGACCACCAGCAGCGGCCAGGCAGGCCCTGCGGCCGTTGGCTCGGGCGCCCGAGCCTCGCAAGGCACTGCCGCCTGCCGGGCGAGCCGCACGACAGCGAGCCGCACTCCACGTGCGGGCAGATCAGCGACGGGCACGGAGGGCAAGATTGCAGGCTGCTGCTGAGATGCAGGGAAAGGTGAGAGAGCTCTCGAAGGACCCCGCCGAGCTGAAGCAGGTCCATATGCGCTTGAGCATGTATGCCACGGGCGATGCAAGCATTCAATCGGGACGCTCCTCGCCTCTCTGGAAAACACAAGTCACAGACAAAAATACATACATACATACATACATACATACATACATACATACATCCATCCATACATACATACATACATACATACATACATACACACACATACATACATACATACATACATACATACATACATACATACATACATACATACATGAGGAGGAGACAGCGACGACAATAGGGCTGACGGCGGCAGGTCTGCCAAACTCAGTGCCAAGAGCCATTGAAGACCAGACGTGGCCGGAGATGCTTGAGGCCTGCGAAGATGACCCCGTCAAGGTCGCCACTGCCACCGTCACCCAGCAACGTGAGGCCATGCTCAAGAAACCTCGTGCTTAGCATTGCGTGGTCCATCGTGTCGGTCACTTTGAGTGCCGGCAGCAGTCTTCCATCGCTGCTGGCTAGGCCCGAGTTTCCACGTCCTGATACCATTTTCGTGCAGGAGACCCACCTCGGCGCGTCTCGTTGCTCTGATGTGGAGGCTGAGCTGGCGTGTATGGGCTGGCACTCTGCCGCTTCGCCTGCCACGGACTGTGTCCCTAGAGGCACGGGGCACGGGGCCTTTTGACAATGGCGCCTCGCAGCCACGGCTTGGGCATGCTGGACACAATGAAATCGGAGGTGCTCGTCCATGATCGTATCTCCGTCATGTGCCACTCGGGGTTCGCGAAGCATGAAATTCTTTTGGTCAAAATCCATCTTGTGTCAGGTGCGGAGTTTCTCAAGGGTGCGCAGCTCCCATACGTGGTCGGATGCGACTTCAGTTAATCTCATGAAGCGCTCCTGGAGTCAGGTCTTGGATTGGTTCGAGGCAGAGCTGGTGAAGCCGTCGGTGGCAACGTTTGCCAGCGGGCGCACCATCGACTATTTTCTGGTCTCAGATATTTTAACGGTTGCATCGGTCGAGGCGATGCCAGAAATCCAAGTCAGCACGAACTCCCATGTTCCAGTTCGGCTTGGCCTTTCGGTTGAAATCGCTCGACCGCGCGTGCGCATCGTTCCCGTGCCTCGCCCTTTCTTTCCCCGCCGAAAAGTCCATCGGGTGTCGAAAGAACGATCATGAGGAGCCCTGGGCCGCCGCGCGGGAGGAAGTGAATGAAGTTTTTGAGCCTGGAGGAAACACCGACACCCTCATCCATGCTTGGACCGTCTTTGTGTGCCAGGTTGAATGCGAACTTTGCGACGTGTTCGATGTAGAAGATGATGATGTACAGCCATACATGGGGCGTGACAGGCCTCAGCAGGTGGAGTGGGTCCCCGTGCTTGCTCCCACATTCCCAAGTTCCTGAAGGTCTGTCCCGAAGCGCGTTGGCTGAAGAACCTGTCCGCGAGTTTGCATTTTGCAGCTGCTAGTGCGCAGCCTCTCACGCGGGTGTCTGGGCTGCGTTCCATCGGCGAATTGATGGCCGAGGCTCCTGCGGGCGCCCAAGCAGGCGCGGCGCCCGCTGGAGGCTGGTGGGTAGTTAGTCTTTCTCATCCTGGAGGCATGTGCTCTGGACTTCGAGTTTCTGGAGTTCCTATCTGGGGCAATTCGGGACGAGGCCCTCAAGCTGGCCAAGAAGGGCATGGAGGATGTCCTTCAGGCGCTGGGTCTCTGAGCAGGCGGGTGGAGGAGCTGGGGCCCCGCGTGCACTCGCCAGGGTTCCCAGCAGGTGCGGCCGAGGGATCTGCGGGAGGAGGCTGATAAGCTACAGCGGGAATGGAGCAGGTGGTGGGAGGTGGGTGAATGGCATCAGGGCCCCGAGTGGTGACCCGATCTTGGGCGACGTCCTGAGCGGCCCAGTGGCTCGGCTCGCCGTAGGAAGGTCCCGCGCACGTTCCCGAAACATTATGGGATGTATTTCTGCGTGCTCAGGCCGCGCCAGCTCGATTCTTTGTGCGATTCGGCTCTGGGCGTTTTTTTCCTGGGCATCTCGGTCGCCGTGGAGGACGCGGCCGAGTGGCCCGCCATCTCCGCGAAGATCGCGTTCCTAGCCAGGAGGCTCGGCGGCGTGCGGCCGATAGCTTTAATTCGCGTGCTCGCTCGAGTTCAGGCGCGACTGCGCCGCCCGATAGATCGAGATTCGAAGCGTCGCAATGGTCTGGCCTACTTCTGGGCCTCCGAAGGAAGATCGTGCGATCGAGCGGTCTGGCAGCAAACCACCCGGTCTGAATGCGCTAGCACTAAGGCCAAGGGTTCAGCTGAGGGAGTTCTGACTTCTGGAATGATGTTTCTTGATTGCTTGAAAGCCTTTGAACAAGTGGGTCATGATTGGCTTCTGGAGGCTGCAGCGGCAGCGGGGTTCCCTCCATGGCGGTCGAAGATGCAAGTGAGTTTGCATCGTGCAGGGCGGTGCTGCTGAATCGGGCAAGTTGTTGCCCAGCCGCTGGAGGACGGGCAGGCCGCTCCCCCTGGCGACGGATGGGCGACGTGTTTTTTGAAGATGGTCCTCATTCATCCGCTCGACGAGGAATTCATCGCGCTGTCGCCAGGTCGGTCGTGGTTGACGATATCTGGCTTCATCGGCTCGGGGGCAACCGGAGGGTCACCAACGAGGAGCCCGAGCAAGCAGGCCTCGCCCTCAAGAAGGCCCTCGCTCGCGTGAACATCAACGTGCATATGGATAACACTAGGGCGCAGTGTAGTGACGTATCCGTTCGGCTGACCGTGGCGCGACTCCTTCGGGGGAGTCTCGGAGCTGACGCCGCCGCGGAGGGGCGTAATCTGGACGTCGATTTCGCGCGTGGTCGACGTCTTGAAAGGAGCGTTCGGAGGTTTCGATATTCATGGTCCCGCCAACACCTGAGGCGCTTTGAAATAATTCGAGCTCGGGCTAGGAAGCGCTTGGCCACGTAGCCCGCGCTGGGCTGGGGGCCAGCATGGGCTGCGGGGGGAACGTCGCAAGCTGCCCGCCTGAGGATCTGGACGCTGCTCGAAGCACCGCGTTTGCCGCCCTGCCTGGGGCGACCTCGGGCAAGTCCAGGGCCCTTGCGTTGGATTTGGAAAAGGGATCAGATCCATCCTGAGGACCTCTTGGATGCCCATTCTCACCTTGCGCCACGCCATATGGGAAGGGTGGGTGCAGTCGCATGTGGTTCGGGACGGGATGGGTGGGGCGCCTAGGGTCGTTCACTGGACCTAAGTCAATGAACCTTTCAGCGCCTGCAAGCTCACTCTTGCAGTTTCACGGTGGTGTCCGCGGCACTTGGAGGGTGGGGCGGTTTGGGACCCCCTGGCCCCTCTTGTCTCCTCGGGCCAGCCTCGTTACCATATCAATCGCGAGCTCTCGACCCTAGGGCCCGAAGCTCGAGGGTATTTGCGCTCGGTTATCTTCGACGCGCAGTGGACGATGGCACGCAAGCGTGCTTCGAATCTCGCGCTGTCCAGCGATTGCCTTGTGCGCCGCAAGCCTGGCACCTTGATGCGCCGCCATTTCGAGTGCGAGTGCGGCCGGGAGTTGGCATGCCCCGACGCGTTGCAGGTGCTGATTCAGGCCCAGGACCCTCATGACGTGCACCTTCTCCTTGAGCGCTCCCTCTGGCCCCTCCCCAGACCCGACTGGCGCCCCCCCCGACCAGGACCAGGTGGTGTGGCAAAAGCATGAGGCCCAGGCGGTTTGGTGGCCAAGGAAGCTTTCCTGACGGTTCTGCGTACTTCTGCGATTGTCGGTTCCGCCCGTTTGCGCATTCACCGATTCTGATTTTCTGTTTTTGGGCGTCACGGTGCGAGGCCGCACCGGCACGACGTCGCACAAGGCTGCTTGGGCTTCCATGCGGTCTGAGTTTTGGCGCCTTCTCGAGGACTTTGGAGGTCTCTCGGAGGCTGGTCTGACCATTCGGAAGGGCAAGGCCAATTGCAGCTTTAGTGATGTTGATCGTGGAGTGATTTCTCGTTGTGACAGGTTTGGCAACTTCCATGCCAACCTCTGGGCCAAAACTAGCTGGGCGACGAAGTCGCCCGAACACGGCGCAGAAGCTCGTTGAGCAGGTTGGGCATAGCCTTGGGGAGGTTGGGCAGCACGTGGACGCGCGCGAAACGACGCATTTGTGTAAGCGCGCGCGCGTGCGTGCCCCCACCACCCTCCAGGTTGTGTATCCCACGCTATTGCACGACTTGTTGGGTCCCTCTCGTCCGTGGTGCTCCCGATGCAGGCTCGTGACCCCTGCCTCGTTGATCTGTGGAGGATCGATTGCGAGCCGCGCAGCGGATGCCAACCGCCACATCGGAGAGAGCGAGAAAGGTGAGAGGAGGCACAGGCTCGTTTCCCTCGAGGTTGAGAGTCGGCGCTGCTGGAGGTCTCGCACCCCTTCCGTTGCCTGCCTCCGGTGTGGTGCTCACAGCGCGAGGCAGCTCAAAAGGTTTCTCGCGTCACGCAACCCCCCAAGGACCCGCGGTAGGAAAGCCTTCGAGAGAATGGCTGCTGGTTTCCTCCCTGGGACTCAACACATTTTGCCGACGGGGCTTTCCGCACTATTCCAAGGCCGGAAGACGGTTTTGAATGTACTGTTGCTTCTCCGACGCATATGGAAGGCGTCTGGGC